ACGGATAACGCCCTGACGCCGTCTCTCCTGACCCACGTGGCGTTTCTACGGATAACGCCCTGACGCCGTCTCTCCTGTGCAGGGTCCAGGGTCGCACGTGGCGTTTCTACGTGGGGTCTCCCAGGTCTCCTAACTGGAGTGGCTCCCCAGCTTCCATGTTTGGGCACCCACCAAGCGTGCAGAAGTCCTTCTGTTTGGGCCTGCCCGAGGTTTCCTCATGCTTAAGCTCGGGTTCTGCATCTTTGGCAGGGACCCTGAGAGTGAGTCTGTGCCGTCTCAGTGTGGCCCGCCCGGAGGCAGGTGCACCCAGCACGGGCGATGGGAGCTCTGATCACTCGGCTCAGCTGGGGTCCAACAGGCTGCTCCACTGGAAAGCCAGCATTACCCTTGAAAGTAAGTCACACGTGGGAGATGCTGCTTTGCGTCCGTCTGATGGGAATCCCTCTGGCTCAGTACCCATCTGTGATCGCCCAGTGTGCCATTCCTGTCGCGTTCCTTGGCTGGCACTCTCGCGTGGAGGAGCGCCCCGTTCCCCTGACTGATCTGTCCATTGCTATCAGCCTGGACCCATTATTTCCTGGTTGAGTCAATGGATTATGGTCTTCACCATCACTGCCTATTGGCCTAGATCTCGTCAGTGGGGGCCCCTTTCTGCTGGCTCCTGTGCCCTCCGAACCTGCCTCCATGCTGGAGCCCCGGCTCCTGTGAGCACAGCAGCAACCATGGAACCAGTGCCTGGAACTGTGGAACTGGCATCTGCTGCGGCCGAGCCCAGGCTGTGGGCCCTCTCAGGACAGAGCTGGGATCAGATGCACACGCAGCTCTACCCACTTCTCTCTATACCCAACATAACGGACACATTGATCCTCTACCTGAGGGCCCCACCCCCTTTTCCGTCTGGGCTCCTTTCCCGGCGGCTGCAAGCAGCAACGACCTGGGCCCGCCCTCGTCTCCAGGAGCTCAGCCACGTTGCTTGGCAGAGGACAGAGCTGCGTGGGCCTCGCCTGGGTGGAGAGCCCGGCCACAGGATGCTCAGACCCAGGAGGAGTCTGACTGTCCCCTCCAAGCACATAGACACGGAGCCCGCAGTGTTTGCCCCGCCTGCGCCTTAGCTCCAGTAACTGGGATTGGGCTGCAGGTGGCTTCAGCTCCCACTCTGTCTGCCACAGGATTTAATTCCTCAATTTAAAATTCGGCTTATTTGGGCCAGGCACGGTAATCCCACCACTTTGGGAGGCTGAGGCAGGCAGATCACTTGAAACCAGGAGTTTGAGACCAGCCTGGCCAACATGGTGAAACCCTGTCTCTACTGAAAATACAAAAATTGGCCGGGCGTGGTACACCTGTAATCCCAGCTACTTGGGGGGCTGAGGCAGGAGAATTGCTTGAACCCGGGAGGAGGAGGTTACGGTGAGCCAAGATAGCACCAGTACACTCCAGACTGGGCAACAGTGTGAGACTGTCTCAAAAAAAAGAAAAAGAAAAAATTCTGTTTATTTGTATAAATTCTTGCCCCTTCATTCTAAACAAGTGGGAAGACAGCAAACTACGCAAGGGATGCCAGTGAGAGCTCCTGGGGTCCCTTGCTGCCCAAGGAGGCGCTCACCCGTGTCCGGGAACACACGGCGTTCAGGTGGGTGGGACACGTGTGGGGGTGCAGACATGCTTACCCCCGCGGTGCTGCTAGCTGGCCCAGGGGCCACAGCCCCCACCGGGCAGGAGCCACCCTGGAGTGGCTGGACTGGGAGCCCAGGAGGGCTAGGGTGCTGGGGACCCCTGAGGACAGCACCTCCGTACCAAAGGTACAGGGGCAGGTGCAGCTCAGTATCTTACCAACCAGCTCAGCCCTTCCTGTGCACACTGGCTGGGCACCTGCTGGGGCCTCAGGCTCCCTCCGCCTTCCCATACCTGCTCTGTCGTCCCCCTGAGGCATCCTCATGGTCTTGCCCATCCCATGCCAAGACAGCTCTGGCCTGCTCCTCACTGTCCTGGAGCCTGAGACAGCCACGGCCCCATCTTCCTCAGTCCACTCTATTCCAGTCTGAGTCCCTGGGGTCCTGCTCCCCAAGCATGGTGCCCTGGGGATCCACGCTGTCTTCCACTTTGTGCCTTCTAGACAGCATCTACCGTCCCTGAAACCTTCTGTGGATTCATAGGTCACACAGGTCATAGGTTGCTACAGTTACCCCAATTACCAACAGTCTGGGGTATGAAGTCAGGGAGGCTGGCAGTCTGTCCTTCACAGCCTTTCCCTCTGGCCTTAGGTAGGAAGAAGGGAGCCCTGCTGGTCGGCTCTGCCAAGCTGCAGAATCAGGACCTGGGGTCATCTCCACAGCTCAGAGCTGTGGCTCAAACCCAGCCATGGAGTTGGGGGTCACTCCCTCGGGGCCAAGGCCCTGACCCGGACCAGGATAGGAGAGCCGTGGCATGGAGCAGCTGCGTGGCTCTGAACGCAGCAGTGAGGGCCATGTGGCCCCCTCCCCACGCAGGGAGGGCCCACCGCTAGGCGTGGGGCAGGCAGGACTGTGCACGCAGACGCCCCCTCAGCAGGCCATCAAGGCCCTGCATTAAAGTAAACATGAGCCACCTTCAGTGTGTGAGTTTCCAACACAAGATGCTGTTAGCTGAAGGGAGGACTGGGATGGGCCCGGGCCTGCCCCCACCAACAGGGCGTCAAGGTGAAGGACCAGGAAAAGAGGAGGCAAGCGGAGGAAGAAGGGGGAGGAAGAAGGGGGAGGAAGAAGGGGAGGAAGAAGGTGGAGGAAGAAGGGGGAGGAAGAAGGGGAGGAAGAAGGCGGAGGAAGAAGGGGGAGGAAGAAAGGGGAGGAAGAAGGCTGAGGAAGAAGGGGGAGGA